CTTAATAATCTCTTTTAAGTAACATCTGATTTTTTATCTAGTATATTTTACTTTTTATAATTTATAGTTTTACTTATAAATGGAATAATAATAAAAGAATTGAAACTCCAATTGAAGTAGGAATTAATTAAGCTATAAGATTATTTGTAACAAAAGAAAAGATTTAGAGTCAAATGTAGAATATAAAAATCAGACAGTGATGGCACCATGCATATTATTATAAATTATTAGTGCTATGTTAAAAAGACATAATGAAAGAGAATTTGCATATCTCTTTCCACATGAACCTACAATTGTATATGCTAAATTAGAAGATGAATTTGGTTATAGTTTATCTAATGCATCTATGGTTAGTGAATTATTAAAAAATTCTGATAGATTATATGCAATTCCAAAATCATTTACGAAAGATGTAATTGGTAAAATACATGTTACTCATAATTTGAATGAATTAACATTTATGTTGAAAAGTCTTACTTAAACAATTATAGCAAAATTAGATGGTAATATTATAATCATTATCTATATAGAGGCCGAATTAGGATCTCCTGAAACTTAAATGGAAATTATGTATTTAATAATTCTTGCAGGTTTCTCATTATAAAAATCAATTAATCATAATACAGCTCTTACATTAAAAAGAATATTTGAAAATGAAAGATTATAATTCTTAGATGATCAATCATATGCATCAATTTCTTAATTATTGATTAAGTTATTATAATTTTGGACTAATGACTAATCTTTTAAGATTAGTTTCTTCTTAATTTAAATGTAGATTTATTAGAAATACTTACTAAAAGTGGTATCTATTTTTCAAATCTCTAATTTAGCTGTCTTCTCCAACTCATATAAAACTCCACAAATTGTAAATAGTCTTATGTCTGTTTCTAAATTAGATTTTGTTAGTGCTTAAACCAGATCTAGAATTATTAAACTTATTTCATTTCTATCAAGACCATAATTTATAAACTGTTTCTAACCCAGATCTTATGATGGTCCTTTAACACTTAATTTACCTCCATAACCAAAAAGAAAAAATGAAGAATATATACCTACTATTTTTGAATAACCAAATAGAAATTCAAAAAGAAGATAAGTAAGTGCTGCATCTAGAAATTAAAATGCTTTTGAATAACAATAAGATTTTAATCAATATCCATATAAATAGAATGATTCAAATTAATATCCTTATAGATAAAATGATTCAAATCAATATTAATACTTGAATATATCAAAATAACATCCTATAACTTAATAATTTGGATATTAATCCTAACCCTTACAATCCAATTATCCACTTCCTCAATAGAGTACTATATATTCCAAACCTTAATTAAATATAAATAATAGACCTCAAAGTAATAGAACTTAAAATCAATATGTTGGTGGTAATATGCTTTAGTAAGTCTTCGATGAATTAGTTTAAGATTATCTTAATTTAATTTCTACTGAATTTAATGAAGAAATGTTATAATTTGCCATTTAAAATTTAAGTGATGCAATTGATACAACCATAGTCCAGAAGCATTTTAAAAGATTCTCAATTTATTAGAAATTGCAATGAGTCCAAAATTTTTAGGAATGTAGTTAAGAATTTTAGAAGCATTATCTAAGAATATGAATCAAGACTTAAATTAAAATAAATACCTAGAATTATGAAAGCTTTTCCTTATTAACCTAAAGAATTTTAATCAATATTGTATGATATGTTTATTAGCTACAATTTTTAAGTTGATGTACTCACTGTTATCAGCATGATTGAATCAGCATATCCGAGAATTTAAATGTTGAGGATTAAAATACTTTCATTAATGTCTGACCCATAGGGACTCTAAAATACTAATAATTTATCTATTTAATTGAAAATTACATTAAAAGTTTAATGGATT